ACCCCACGGTTATCGGAGTACCCCCTCCGTCAGTCGGCAGTCCAGGGCACTGTGTGTATGAGTGGATCGCAACGCGATTTTGCGAATCCCACTCCACCACACGTACTATTCTCGAGGACTGACGGATTGGGGGTCGTGCCTTATTCCTTACGTCCTGGGAATCGATTTGGGAATCTGCTGAAAAGCTACCATCGGGCGAGCTTCGTCAGTACAGGCAACGCAAGCACCGCAGAGTTGAGCGCGCTTACTTTGAGGTAGAAGCAGAAGAAGAGTAATTTAAATAGAAGACAAGAACCGGTGCTCATACTACATATTCTTTTTTAAATTCAAATACATGTACACTGGATTGGACCGATTCATGCTTGCATAACATACCAGCAAACTCACCGCCAAAATCCATCAGCTAAAACGGTACAGGGACGAACCCATCAATTCGTTCTGCACAAGCCTTCGGCAACAAGTCCGCTGGCACACTACGCGGGACACAGTCAGGCCTTCCTATCTGGTGCCGCCGCCGAGCCAACCTCCGGGTGGCCGTGGCACGCCGCGGCTTGTCTGCGTCACTGGTGTCGACGTAGACCTTGTCTGTGTCGCTGGTGCGGCTCTCTGCCGCTCGGAGATAGCGGCCCATCTCGCAGTGCCACGGCCACGCCTTCACTTCTAGTCTGTGTAGCAAACACAGTTCGTGTGTGTTTGCCGCACTTCGCTTTGTGTTTTTCATATTTTTTTCTTACCACGGCACCTGTTTTTTTGCCACGGCAGGATTGTGTTCAATAGCTCGTGTCCAGTGGCAAAGATGGTAAGGACCAAACTAACAGCGAAGAAGACCACTAAAAGCAAGGCTCCCCGCCTCCAGCTTGCCGAAAAAGCCAAGACATCCAGCCCCTAGGCCAATGTCGTGCGATGAGGGAGACGTTGAAGGTGACGACTCTGACGCCGATACCCCAAACGCTGCTGAAGCTAAGGCTCCTGAAGCCCCGGAAACCAAGGCTCCAAAAGACAGTGACGCCACAACGCTGGAAGCCCAGAGAGCCAAGCTGCCTGAAGCCAGAGAAGCCCCCGAAGAGCCGGAAATGCAGAGTCAAGGGCTCCAGAACGCTCAGACCTATGTATGATTCAAGACGACGTCAAGCACGCCCATTATGGTTTTGCTGCGGGGAGATTTTGTGCTGTATGTAAGAACTGCCTCGTCAGTGAGGATCCAAGCTTCGCGTACTGGAAAATTTCTGGAATACAAGTGTCAAGGTGGATAAAATAATCCGTGATTAAATATCTTACTCGGCTCCAATTATATTATAATTGGAGCCGTTTACATTGTACTTGGTTTAATTTCAGATGAAGAAAGTATAATTTTTATTAAATCTTTTTTTTAGGCTATCTTTTCAATTTATTATTTATTGTTTTACAACTTATTAAATGTCCTAAATATCTAAACTAATTTCTTAAATGTCCTAAATATCTAAAATAATATAGATTTCTTTAATTTTAATATTAAAAATGTCTAGTTTTTAAATTAAATTTGGTTTTCTAAGGCTGCTTCTTTTTATTATAAATTATTTTACAATTAATTAAATCTCCTGAATCACTTGAGTTGGTGAGTGCATTCAAGAGTTTATTTGTTTAAATTAAAAAAATCTGAAATATACGCTCAGTCCCTCTTCCTCATTCCAGAATCTGCCGACTCGAGGTAAGATGGTGATGCTCTCACTACAGTGCGCAATCGTTGGTCAGGCAGGGAGCTCGTTCGATGTGGAGATCGACGACAGCGCGAAGGTTAGCAAGTTGAAGAAGGCGATCAAGGCGGAGAAGATGTACCAGTTTCCTGCGGACGAGCTGCATCTCTTCCTGGCGAAGAAAGACGAGGGCCGCGGGGCGTGGGTGACGGAGGCAGACGTGAATAACGGCGCGAATGACACCAATGGCTTGACGCCGTTGGACGTTGGACGTTGCAGGAGCTCCTCTCAACTTGGTTGGCCTGTCGGGAACAGACGTGCAGTTCACACCCACGATTGAGGATGTCAAGGCTAAAAGTACCCCTGTTCACGTGCTGGTGGTGCCGGAGCAAGGGTCCTCGGTCCCAACAGTCTCTCAAGACGGTGTTTTCAACCACTGCAGTGATCCATTCTTCTTACAATTCCCGACAGTTGACCAAGAAGGTGATTGGCTCGAGTTTTCGTCGTTGCTGCCGCTAACGAGACGTCAGACGCTCTACATTCGCTCTTCGTACCAAGTGATCGCCGACCAAGCGCTGTTGAATCCAGATGTGGACATGGTCAAGTATGCTGTCGTCACGGGCACGCCTGGGGTTGGAAAGTCGGTGTTCGTCTACTATGTCATGTGGAGATTGATCAAAGAGAAGAAGCGCGTGCTGCTTTTTGACAACAATGGGCTCTTTTACTTCGATGGATCGACGATGGTGAACTGTCTGGCGTTGCCAAGCAAGTTTAATGTACAGTTTTGGTCGCCTGATCTGTGATGCCTTGTTGATTCGATGGACCCAACAAGTATTCCTGGGCTTCCCTACCGGCTATGCTCAGTTCTTCTCGCAAGCACACCGCGACGAGACTGCATCGGTGAGTTCAAGAAGCAGCCTCCTACTGCCGATGTTTTCTACATGCCACTGTGGTCGAAAGAAGAACTGGCGACAATTGCTCCCATGTATCCACATGCAGCAGCTGTGTGGGAGAATCGATTTGATTGCTTGGGTGGTGTACCTCGCCTGGTGTTGCAAGACATTGGAACAAACCCACAAGCTTTGCTGATGTCCGCATGCAGCAGTTGTTCTCTCGATGATTGCATGATGTTGGTGTCTATACACTCTGAGGTCAACTCGAAGACCACGATCGTTCAGACTTTGATTCACATCCGCAGCCAAGACCCGTATCTAAAATACGAAGTCGTCTATGCATCAGATTTGGCGATGCAGTTGATTGTTCGAACAAAGTGGCGATTTGACCGCGCGAAGTTGCAAAGCCTTCTCAGTTCGTCAGATGGAAACCCGCTAGCACAATCACTGTGTGGATACATCTGAGTTTTATTCTATGGATCGGCTGGAGCAGGGTGGGAATTTCGTGTATCGAGAGCTGTTTTCTGGAAAGAGGAAACGCACTCCAGCTGATGGTACAATCGATATTCCACGGTCATCGCTGCCTCGGCAAGTAGCGGAGCGTGTGGAAGTCGGTCAACATGCAAATCAGCTATACGTGCCTCGGACATCGAACTATACTGCTATTGATGCGTGGATGCCGCAGTTCGGTGGATTCCAGATGACTGTGGGAAAAACGCATGACTTCAAGAGCGGGGCGGCAGATGATTTGGCGAAACTCGGTCAGAATGGCAATCGACTCTTCTTTTTGCTTCCACCACTCTACTACAAATCTTTCACCAAGAAGAC